CTCTTCCGATCTCCCCAAAACCCCAAAACCCCATGTTTTCCTATTTTGAGGAATATTATATTAACACAATATTAAATCAAAATGCACCTGCTTTCTTTATGTATTTGCCAGGATTCTTTTTTATTTCGTTTGCATCTGGAGTGCTATTATTATTCCAAATCTTAATTAGAGCATCAATATGCAGTATAAGCTAATTTTATTCATCTTATTCATGTTTATTTTACAGTATGATGTGCTTCAAAATCTCAAATATACTTTTATCCTCTTCAGTTGTAACGAAACTCATCAATGCCCCTTTCCTAAGGTCTTCAGTCAAATCTTCATAACCTTTATTAGCTAACACAGGCGACATCAAGAATAATTCCAAAAGCATCATTCCTAAACTTTAGATTGGAACATCCGGATCGTGAAGAACCTGAGAGTGCTCAAAATTAATAACTTTAATCACAACATCCCTATCAACATGAATAAAATCCATCTAATCTCCAGGATTCTGAATGATTTCAGAGAAAGGGCATACATTAGCACAATTTATTAGCTTCCAATGTCCTCCTCCATACCACATAAAATCTTCAGGCTTAAATTCTGAATAGTATCCATATTGATAAAGAAATATCCATGTAGAAATCATATCCAGTAATATGTACTTTTTTGTGTCAAGGTCAATCTTTCCTTGCATTTCTACCAAATACTAGTCAACTGTGTAGCTTCCTCTTTCTAATACAATGAAGCCTAGTCCATTTTCCTCCCAAAAATCTAAAAGAGTAGAGACCATGTGAGAGCGAAGATTCTTAAACAATTATGTTTGTCTTTGATATTCAGGCTGACTTCTGTATACCCTTATCATTACTTTTAGATTTTTAGGCATCTTCGACATTTAATCAAATCCATAAATGATATCAGTAGCATCAGTTATAGGCTCATTGATTTTATATCTTTTCTTAAGCATTTAGGAGGGCGAAGTCATTATGCTATGATTAGCTTAAGGATACTTAGCCACAGTAGAGTTTTAAGTGTTTTATGACAAATCTATGAGTTACTACCCATTAGGACTTACATTTCCGTGCGAGTATTATTAGTTTTATCTAAAGTTTTCCATTTAAAATAATTTACCAACTATAAATTTTTTAAAGTTTAATTTGTGGGGTTTTGGGGTTTTGGGGTTTTGGGG